GGAATCAGGAAGCTCCAAGTGCTGTAGAGATTGTCCAGTCAAATACCTTCGCATTGTGGATGGGGAGAGAGAGCCCAGAGAAAAGCAATGAATCCGTCCTTCCATCATCCATTCAGTCCTTCTATCCAGTCCTTCTTTCTATTCATTCTTCCTTCCTCCCTCCTTCCCTTCCTTCCCTCCCTTCCTTCCTTCCTTCCTTCCTTCCTTCCTTCCTCCCTTCCTTCCTTCCTCCCTTCCTTCCTCCCATCCATCTATCCGTACACATCCTGTCCTTCTATTCCATCCTTTCTTCCTTCCATTCCATCATTCCCTTCCTTCCTTCCCTCCTTCCCTCCATTCCATCCATCCATCATCCATCCTTCCATTCAACGTCCTTCCTCCCTCCCTCCCTCCCTTCTACCCATCCGTCCCATTCATCCATCCTTCCGTCCATCTATCCTTCCATCCCATCCATCTATCCATCCATCACCCATCCATCTAGTCCTTCTATTCCATCCTCCCTCCCTCCCTCCCATGTCCCGCAGCACAGAGCACTGTCTCCCCCCGGCTGCACACTGACATGATCCGGGAGCTTTAAAAGGCACTGATGCTGGGGTCCCAGATGAGCCCCCACCCGAGAGCCTGAGTTACTCTGCCTGGGTTGGAGCTCTGGTGACCACGACCAGTGACCACGGCCAGCAGTCGGGGTTGCCGCCCCCTGGTGGATGGAGCTTTGGTTTGCTCTCCTGCTGCCTCCCGAGTCACTGAGGGAGCTTCCAGCAGTGTCCACGCCCGGGCCTCGTGCCCAGCGGCCCAGTCTGATTGGTGCGAAGCAGAGGCCCTGGTTCTGCTGGTTGTAAACTCCCCAAACAGTTCTGATGTGCAGCTGGGATGCAAACCACTGGGGCCGGAGAAGCTGCAGATCCACCTCCTAGGCCCAGCCCCTTGCAGCTGGGTCACCTCGAACTGGATACTTAACCTCTCTGATTTCCGGTTGCTCTGTTATAAAAGGGTGGTCCTGGGCCTTGTCACAGACAGGCCTGGGGAAGCCCTCCGTGACCTGGAACACGTTAATCACCAGGGGGTTTCTCTGCGGAGGTTTTGGGCTCACCCTGCTGTGTGCAAGGCCCAGGGCACTACCCACCCGTCTCCCCTCCCTCTGGCTTGGGAACGCGTAGGTTACATTTCAGACCCGTGCACCTGCCCAGGTCACACGCAGCTCAGAACCCTCTAGTGGCCGCCCTGCCCCGGCGCAGACTCTGCTCTCAGACCCGTGGAGCCGGTCCTGAGGAGCCGGAGCGACGCCTGCCGCTTCCCCACAACCAGCTGCCCCGAGTGGCTGCAGACAGCGGCTTCCGCGTCCCCTGAGAGCAGGTTAGAGACGCAGGTCCTCCCCGCACGCCCAGACCCACGGTGCACGTTAACAGACGCCCGGTGCACACTGCACACCGCCGGCGGAGAACACTGTGTGCTTCCGTCCTGTACGCAGTCCCGTCTCCGCCTGGGCCCTGCTGGAAGAGGCAGGAAGCGGCCGGCTGTGACGCACCTGGGCCACCCTGCCTGACGGCGCCCCCGGCCTCAGCTTGGCCGTCCAAGCCCCTCTGAGCTGGACTTTAATTTGATCCGGCTGCTGATATGGACGCTCAACAAAGGAAAACGACTTTCCTTTTCTCCTTTTTCTTTATTTAATTATTATCCTGTCAGCACGATATTGATGCAGAAACACACACACACACACACACACACACAAAAAAAAACAGTGTATCCTTAGCTGACTCTGGTCCAAGAATTAGCCAGAAACTTCCAAGTAGGAAGGAGGGAATGAATTATTCGGTTCTCTCAGTAGGCTCTTCCTTCAGCCAACATTTAATGAGCACCTACTATGTGCCGCGTCATGTTATAGAAACCGTATTGCAGACTCGAGCCAGAAACCTGAGCACAGACCACAGTCCTGCCGCTTCCCAGCCGTGCAACCTCGGCAGTTACTCAACCTCTCTGTGACTCAGTTTCATCATCTGTAAAATGGGATTGGAGTGGCACCTGCTCTGAGAGTGTTGCAGATCAGACAGGACGTTGATCTCACGTGGGAAGTGCATGTCCGGCCACATGTCAGCGGGCAGAATGGACAAAGAAGGCACCGCAGTGCTGCCTGGGAAGGGGGATGGTTAGCTCCCTGCACCCACATCCCCTCCCCCCCGCCCCCCATGACATATCTAGGAATGTGCTGTGATAAACTCTGGAATTTCAGTGCTTGGGCTGGTGTCTGAGCATTTGGCCTGGGCAGGTGGCCCTGGAACATGGCACTGGCCTCGGGGACTCTCAGAACAGAGCCCTGAAGAGGCCGTAAAGGTTGTGCTGCCACTAGGAGCCTGGAGGGCCTCCCTGAGCTAAACCAGAGGTGGCTGTCCGGCCGCTGCCCTGCCTGGGGGCCCTGCCACCGGGAACCTGGCCCTTATGCTCCTGCGCCCTCTAGTGACCATGGGCCCTGACTGCTGGCAGGTGTTGCACTGAGGAGGCAGGTTCCCAGCATTGTCCCTCGGGCTGGTTATGTGACCTTCCGGGATAGACCGCAGCGTCCTTGTCCAGAATCGGGGATCAGCATCCATCCCCCGCTCACACGCTGTTAGTACCCCCACCATGCGGCTCAGCACAGTGAGGCCAGACTGGGCAGTGGGTGGCTCAGATACGCTCCTGGCGTCAGGGCTCTCCTTAGATCAGAGCCTGCTGGGCGAGCAGGGCCCGGCCAGGCCGCGGAGTGAGTGCGAGGAGGCAGGGAGGGGGCCCAGGAGGAGGCCCGTGTGCGAAGGCCTGGCGGAGCTGCAGCCCGTGTTCTGGGCGGCCAGGCCTCGACAGGGGTGTGGGGCCGGGCTGGGGACGAGGCCAGGCTGGTCCTGAAGGCCATGTGCCCCAAGCTCGGGAGTTTGGACTCGGTCTGGGGGCAGTGAGAGAGGGTTGGGGCCAGGGGACTCGGGAGCCACGTCTACGTCTTGGAAAGGCCCGCTGCCGTGCGGGGCCCAGTGTGAGGGGACAGGTGGAGGCTGGGAGGCCAGGCGCGGTCCCAGGGCAGAGTGACTGTGAGTCGGCGGGAAGGGAACAGGGAGGGGGATCTGAACAGGGCAGGATTGCCGGTGGTTAGGGGCCGGGCTAACCCAGGCCTCCCGGGCCGGGTGGCGGGTGGGAAGGGACGCAGCCCTGCAGCTCTCACGTGGTCCACGTGGCCAGCGCAGTGACGGTGACGGTGATGCTGACGCTGCTCCTTCCGGCACCCTCACTCTCATTCGACAGTCCCACTCATTGGGCATCTTCTCTCTGCGACAGAAGGTCCAGCGAGGCAGCCCTGCAGGGCCCGGCCCCGTAGTCCTCATTTCCTGCGTGGGGTGTGTGTGTGGGGGGTGTCTTTCCCAGGAGTCCTGCCCTAAGTCACGACCACGCACAGGACAAGGTGGGTGGTCCTAAGGTCTGACACTGGGCATCGCCCCCTCAGTCTCTGAGACCCCGCACCGGGCTCTGAGCGCAGAAGCCCTGGCTCCTGTGACCTTGACTCTCCCTGTGCGGCTTCCGGGGCTGTGGCGGCCGAGGCCCGGTGCCTGCGGGAGGCGTGGCTGTGATCATAGGTGTGCACTGAGCTCCTTCCTGGAAGAGCGACCCTCGGGGGAGCACTCAGTAGGTACGAAGCGCTTTGCGTGTGCTCTCCGTGTCCACCTCGCCACGTCCCCACAAGGGACCACGGGGTCCCCATCTGAGAGGCAGACACAGGAGGCTCAGAGGGGAGCTACGCCATCTGTGCTCAGCGCGCAGCGAGGTGTGAGGCCAGGACGCAGCCCGTGGCCGTCCGACCCTGGGCCGAGCGCCGCCCCAAGATGGCCCCCCCTGACGCCCAGTGCCTCTCCCCGCAGGACCTCCTGGAGAGAACCATGGGCCGCGTGCACATGGCGAAGACGATCGAGTTCCTGAGGCTGCAGATCCAGGAGGAGACCAGGTGCCGGCTGGCCGCCATCTCCCGCAGCCTGGACCTGCTGGCCGCCCAGGGCCGGCTGTCCGCGCGGCAGAAGGAGGAGCTGCTGACCCAGCAGCACAAGGCCTTCTGGGAGGAGGCCGAGCGCTTCAGCCGGGGTGAGCGGCTTCCATGGGGCCTGGGGCCGGGCTGGGGGCAGCAAGAGTCCCGGTTCTGCCCTTGGGGACCAGCCCCTTATATGCTCTGCGCTCGCTTGCCTTCCCCATAGATCGGGGTAGACAGGGCTGCCAACCTGGCATGCTCTCCTGCTCCATTTCCTCGTCGGTGATTCCGGCTCACGGAGACCCCAGGGTCTCTCGGCAGAGCCACCAGGAACGTGCGGAGGGCAGGCGGGCGGAGGTGCCCAGTGCCCTCAGCCCTGCACCAGCCATGGGCCCTGAGATGCCGGGTGGGGTGTGCGAGGCAGGAGAGGGCACCCGCCGTGGCCCCTTCCCACACACTGAGGGCTTAAGACATCCGGGCTCCCGAGGCTTAGTCCGGGTCAGACCTTCGGTGGGGCTGCGGGAAGCAACCTGGCCTCCCTGCAGGGCGGGGGCCCCCTCTGCGCCCGCTTCCTCACAGCCTGGGCGAGAGAGCCCGTTGGTGCTGACCCAAGGCTGCGTGTGCCCGGGGCCCCTCGGGTCTCGTCGGGGCGTCTGTAGGGCATCTGTGTGCCTAGCGAGTCCCCCAGCAGATTCTGACCCCCACCCTGGCCTGGATCCTGTAGGACCGGGGAGTCTCCGGGTGTCTTAGCTCGGGCCATGGTGACAAGATGCTGCACACAGGGGCCCCGGAACAGCAGGCATTTGTTCTGGAAGCTGGAAGTCCAACTCAGTGAGCCCAGATCTGGATCCCGGGGAGGGCCCACTCCTGGCCGGCAGGACGTGGCGGAGAGCGCGCGCTTACATCTCTTCTAAGGCCTCTCTCCCCGCTCCCTCCCGCCCGCCGTCTCTGATGCTGGGCCTTGGGCTGGAGGACCCGGCTCCTGATGCCTTTGGAGCACGTGTGCCCGAATAATGAAACTGAAACAAACTGGGTTCGCCCCTCAGTGGCGCCCCTCTCGGTGCTGGCAGAAGAAGCCAGGAGGTTTGGCCGGGAGAGCCGCCTGTGACATCTGGCCTATTCCACTTCCAGAGTTCATGCAGCGAGGCCAAGAGCTGGTCCAGGCGTCCCGGGCTCGCCAGGCGGAGGGCACGGCGCAGCTCATGCGGGCCCAGGAGGAGGAGCGGAGGGCCTTCCTGGCGGAGGCGCAGCTGACCGCCAGCCCCGAGGAGCTCCTCCAGGGGACCCTGCACGACCAGCTGGCCTGGCGCGGCTCAG